ACCCAAGCAATTACGGCATTGAAGTGATTGCGCTCTGAAGACGGACGCCAGTCAACAGTGGCACTTGTGGCACCATGCCACATAGATTTGCCAGCGTTCACCAAACTGGTGGTGTAAATACATCATTTTATTTTTATTAAACATTTCAAAACCCTTTTTTATGTAGCCAAGATGAACAAAATATTAGAAAAAAAAAGTTATTCTAGGGGCATTTTAAGCTATAAGCAGATCTATATTGGTGTGATTACTAAAAAAGTTAAAAATTGTGGTCGGGGGGGGGGGGGGGTAACTGCCTCCCCCAAATAACGCCATTGTCAGGGATACCAATATCAGGTCAAGCTCACAGCACTTTTTTCCAGTCATTTTCGTCGTAGTAACATAATGTTGTCAGGAATAGTAAATATACAACGGCATATACACCCAAGGTATATATCTAAGCATAGACTTTGTATATAACAACCATAACCTTACGCTGCCCAATGCATGAGAACAATATACTCAAATAACAAAAAGAGGCAAGAAATCTGTTTGAACGGCTTAGCAGACGCAGGGTGCATTGGTTGCTGCTCCCTTCTGTTATGAGTTATGAGCAAGACACAAAATAACTGGTTTTCTTGATAGGCTGCATGGATGGTATGGGTTATACCGAGTCGCGTGAGTCAGTGGTGATGGTGAAGAGATGGAAGACGTGTTGTAAAGCGAAAAAGATAGCATATAGTTCGGTTTGAACTCTAAATGTAGACATATAAAATAGTAATAATTATAATCATAGTAATGGTAATGATATTAATAATAATATTATTAATAGTAATTATTATTATTATCATTATATCAATAATAATTAGTAATACTGATAATAACTAATAATAATAATAATGATAATAATGATAATAATAATAATAATGATAATAATAATAATAATGATGATGGTGATGATGATGATGATGATGATGATGATGATGATGATGATGATGATAATAATAATAACAATAATAGTAGTAATAATAATAATAATAATAATAATAATAATGATAATGACAACAATAAGTGATAGTGATAATAATAATGATAATGATGATGTCTTATCACGAAATTAGTTATATATTTATGTGTATTTATGTATAAATATATACACATACATGTGTGTGTGTGTGTGTGTGTGTGTGTGTGTGTGTGTGTGTGTGTGTGTGTGTGTGTGTGTGTGTGTGTGTGTGTGTGTGTGTGTGTGTGTGTGTAGATGGTTAATTGTTAAAAGCAAGATAAATGTGCTAGACATCTAAGGTCATGTAGCACTATAGTTAATGTTAGTGAAGGGTGGTTGAGTTAGTGATTAGTTGTCTAAGCTGGGCAAAGGAATTGGTGAGTGGAAGGGTTAAGGTCGGGTGTTAGATTAGATAAAGGTTATGTATGTGTTTGAAGAAAGAGAACAGGTTGTTGATGCAGAAAGTGTGGGATTCTGTAAGGATGTCTGATAGGTTGGGAGGTCGGTGAAGGGAGGATAGGTGGGGGAAAGCAGAGGTACGGGCTGCTTCAAAACGTGGGCACGACAATAGGATGTGTACGATTGAAATGGGAACATTACATAAGGAACATAGGGGTGGATCAGATTGTGACATCAGATAGGAGTGTGTTAGACGGGTGTGGCCAATGCGTAAGCGGGCGAGAGCGGTCTCTCAACGTCTGTTCCGATGAAATGGAGCTGACCAGGAGGAGATTGATAGTTTTACAGAATGTAATTTATTAGTGTGGAGGCTTGACCAAAAAGATTGCCATCGCTTATACAAGAAGGTCTTAAAGTGTGGGTAATAATCCGTGGCTGGGATACGTGAGAAGCGTGGTTGGTATGATGTGGACATAGCAGCGTGGCGTGCTAGTGTATCTGCCTGTTCATTGCCGGGGATTCCAACATGGCTGGGCACCCAGCAAAATTTGATTGTTTTATGGCGTGTGGACAGGTAGAACAACCAGTTCTAGATCTTACAAGCAAGGGGGTTGGTGCTGTGTATTGACTTTATGAGAGTTAATGAGCTACGGGAGTCAGTAAAAATTGTAAAAGAGGAAGAGGAGAGTGAGTATATGTGTTTCAGGACAAAAAGGAGTGCATATAGTTCTGTAGTAAGGACACTGGATTCAGGAGGAAGGGAGTATTTGAAAGTACGAGTTGGGAATATTACTGCAAAACCAGCACCAGAGGTGGATTTGGAGCCATCAGTATATACGTGTATACTAGAGGAATGAGTGGAGACATGATCAAGGAAATGGATGAGAAGGACAGCAGGAGGAATATTTGATTTAGGTGGGTCGGGGAAAACAGAAGAGCAAATATGGGGTTGAGGTATAAGCCATGGAGGGACGGAATGGACAGAGAACGGGAGAGGTTGGAGATGGGGGGAAAGGGGAATGGGAGAGGAGGGTATCTATGCGAGTGGAGAAAGGAGTAGGTAAACGTGGAGATATGTGTTTGTGTAGATATATATATAGATTATATATATAGATAGAT